CAGTTCTGGAGTTAGTACAATTTCATTTAACTGTTGTTTAACATCTGATAACTTATCTTTCATCAGATCCTCTATCTGGCTCATTTACTTGCTGAAATCCTGTTATTATCTTTTGCATGGTAGCCTGCCATTCCTCATCTGATTTTTGTGCCCCTATTCCCAAATTTTGAGATTGGGCAGACAAAGTTCCCAACATTTGATATTTTAATTCTTCAGAGGCCATTTCAATCTTTCCAATGAGTAGGGTCTGTATAAGTAGTACTATATCCTTGACCAAAGTGGCCAGCACTCAAATATCTTTCCGAAATTTCCACTATTTTATCAACAAACCCAACCTACAATCATATACCTCCCCTAGGTTCTTCCATCCTTACACAGATGTTATAGTATATAAATCAACTTTTAGCTCAACAATTTAAATTACACCTGTGGCAATATTATGAGAGTCCCACACAGTCCAGCCAAAAAAAAAATCCAGACTAAACAGCAGTCTCTCCAGTAGATATCCTTATAATCTGCCTGATGTTCTTTCCATTAATCCAAAGATTCAATTTAAAAAAAAAACCTCCAGTCCTGGTTTTCCTAGCTTCTCAGTCTAGTCGGTTGTGTCGTCTCACTGATGATTCACAGTCCAATTTCTTTCTTCCAAAAGCTTATTCCTCCTCCAAAAACCCAGCAAGATTCTGTTCTCAGAGTCCCACACAGTCTAGGGAGAAAGGTCCAGGCTAAACAGCATTCACAAAATTTCAGTCTCTTAAAGCCTGTTCAGTGGTATTTCACTCTGGGATTTTTTCCAGAAATAAAAGATTTTTCCATCTCACTCTCTCTCTCTTTCGGCCTTGAACCAGCCTGCTGTTTAAGAATCAGTTTCGCTTTTGGAGAAGAAGGCTGGTGAGCAAAACTCGCTGCTCCTTATCTTCTTCTAGCCAAGTATTTTCACTCTAATTTCTTTTTCAGCTTAATGGGGTTGTCCATAAATCAAAGTCTTCAGCTTACTTTGTTGTTATATATTTTCAATGCTGTATTGCTTGTTCTCCTCTCCTCGGGGGTGGGGGGGGAGCTGCTCCCAGCTCCACCCAGAGCACAGAGTGCTGTCCTCTGAAGATGC